TTCCCCGCAAACCGCTGACCAAACTCTACGCTATTGTCCGCACGTCTATCTTAAGCTCATTACTAGTTATGTTGTTCTTCTCGTGCCTTCTCGTACTGATCATTGAATCCGATTCCGATCTCTTCTCTCATTTGCGAAAACTGCCGGAACTCGTAGTCTTAAGACGTGATTATTATGAACCACTCAAAGACATTGTCTGGCAATCGATCGGCAAATAAGTGAAACGAAACTCCTTTCTCACCAAAAACTTCCACTTTTTTTCAATCCAATGGTTTGGGACACAAATCGGCATTTCTTATGAGACATTCTTTAAACCGATTGATTTCCATTCAATCCACACCTCAATCTCCAAACACTCATAAGAAACTGATTTTTAAATTTTCCAATATTACGGTATTATATACATTATATACAGTATTATTACCGGTATAATTTTTTAATATAATTTATATGAATTCCAATCATTTAAAGCTATATTTTAATCCAAAAAACACTTCATTTTAAATGTTATTTATTTATTATTATATTTTTTAGAAATTTTATAATACGGTAATTTATTTTTATGCAAAAAGTAATGAAATGATTGCATTTGAGATGAATTGCAACCATTGCTAGCTTTACTAAAGGGTTCTAACTTATTAAGGCATTCATTTTGACAATTGTTTGGGCGTTGAATACAAATTCTATATTGAATTGAACTTTTGATTTTTGAGAACCGATGAAATACTTAAACCAATTGTTAATAACTTAAAATTAATATATATCAATATTATTACGTTATACAGTATTTATAAAAATGGGAAATTTGTTATTATATTAAGGATAAGCCTAAAGTGCTGTGAAACCCTTTTGCAAACTTATTGTTCGTATTAAACGGTTATTTCAATTGAATCTCTAACTACACTCAAAATGAATTTTAGGTGCATTTCTCAAATTATCACAATTTTAATCATTTATACACTTTTAAGATATATAAGACTATCATCAAATTTATGTATTATAAAATTATATTGACTTGAATTTCAAATATTTTTCAATTTTACGAATTTGTTATTCATATAAATATTAATATAATTTTGTTTAAATTTTATCAAAACATAAATGCAATAAAATTTACATATCATTAGACGATTGTTTATTTGAGTCTAAAACCTCGTTGACTAT